GCCGTACTGACATAAATGAACATTTGCACGATATTCTAATTTTTCGAGTTTCACCTGTACAAACTGATGAATGGAGTTCCCTCAGCACACAATGGGACAAGTTTGGAATGTGGGTATGGTACAACACCTTTGTCGTCATTGCAGAGAAAAGTGACACTTGCATTTTGATTATAGGAGATAATCAGATTCTATCCTGCAGTTGTTTCCTTGGCAACTGATACATGCAGGAAGGAAAAAAAAAACGTTGAAAACATTGAAGAAACAATTGGCATGAAATGAACAAAATGTTTTTTGTCTAGAAAGGGCTTTATGGAAGTGCGTTTGCATAAATATTTTCCCACTTGTTCATACTACAATTTCAGATGTATTCTTAAGCAGTTAAAGCAGCGGATACATTGACTACAGGTGTGTGAACCCAGTAGCTGTTCTGCTTTCTTCATGGTTCTGCCTTTGTCAGATTGAGAAACAAATTGTGCCTAGGTGGGAATGTCTCCTATCCTCAAACAAATGTAGGCCAATAATATACACAGTCTGACTATCTCAACAGTATAGTTAGGGGAGAATCTGATTCTATTTTTGTACCTTTAACTTTGCTTGCTAGCATTAGATAGAAACTCAGTTTCCACTTTTTAAAAACTGAGGAATAGTTTCCACAGTTTGCCTGCAAGGTGTTCCTGCTTTTCTTTTTTCTTTTTCCCTAGAAGTTAAATCTGAAGAGACCTTCCTTTTTTTCTATCGGTTGACATCTGCTGGTATTAGACTGTATTTGCCAGCTTCTCTCACCCCATCCAAAGCTGGAATTGCATTTACTAAAAGCTGATACAATCATAGGGTTTTGGCTATGGGAGGAGCTGAGTTTTTCAACTATGATAATTTGACTATTATATCTGGAAACCGCTGCTTTGCTCAGCTATTCAGATCTCATTTATTAATTCAACAGAATGAAGGTGGTCAGATCTTGAGAGAATAGAGTGGATTGTTTCTCTTGAAGTTCCAAGTGTGTGCACATGTAGGGACCAAGTGCTATATTTGAAAACTTCCTCATGTGTTCTCACCCTGCTCCTTGTTACGCTTTGTCTTTGCCTGCAGATAAAGATAAGAACAATCCATAAGTATTTTACTTTTGTTTACCTTGTGTTGGAGATCCTTTGGAAGAAAATTTCCAAAGGCAGAACACAAAAAGGAAAACAAACAAACTATAAAGCAGACAATGCGATGGCCACTTTTGGTCATAAATTGAATTGGTGACAATTAATGCTTTCAAATGACGATTGTATTGAATGAAGGTGGTTAGCTATGCTGTTCAGTTAGAGTAGGGAAAATCCAAGTTCAAATTGCATTAAGCTGAATTCATTAGATGACTTTTGGCTGGTCAGTCCTTCTTAGCCTAACCAACATCATGGCTAGATAGGATAAAATTAAGTGAGAAAGTGCTATGCATACCATGGTGATCTCCTGGAGAATAGGAGTTCCAGAAAAACATCTACTTCTGCTTCATTGACTATGCAAAAGCCTTCGACTGTGTGG